AAATACAAGGGAAAAAATAAAAAAAAAAAAATTATTTTATTTTTTTTTTTTATTTTTTTCCGAATGAACTGTATCTTTAATGATGAGAAAAATTGGGGGTTAAAAAAAAAAAAAACCTTCTGTTTAGGGGCTTTCAAGCTATATAGTAAATTAGAGTAAAAAATATACATAAAAAATATATATATACATAAAATAAATTACAATAAGCACTAATATAAATTTATCGATTATTGAGTATCAAACATCATATTTCACCAATTTAAACTAGTCACAAAAAAAAAAAAAGATTAACATTAGATGCCTAACTATTAAATTAACTTTAATTTATTCATATCGATATGAAGTATAAATTAGGTCGGAATGTATAGGTTTGCAGGTAATACTTTTGTCGTACGGAGATTTTGAGAATGTAATCTATCAAAAAAACATCTTGAAATTTTTAGAAAACTTAAAAGTAACACGAAGATGATATGCAGAATATTTTTGTACTCATCGTGTGGTTGCATACCGTTTGACGAGTTATTTTTTTTTTTTTAGTAGTCTTTGGGGGTAACATTCAAGGAGGTGTGTTTTTTAATATTACAATAATGTAGCATAAATAATCTTGGTGAAATCAAACATACTTTAATACATAGATGAATTAATTAAAATATAAATAAATACAGTTATACAGTTACAAAATTCTTATGTAGTGACACCTCTCAGCTTTTTTTGTATAATTTATAATCGTACAGATTCAGGACACTAGCAGATCGTTCAACAGATAAACAAAGATGCAAGTAAGTAATGCACCTAGAGTATTAAAAACGACGCAGTAACAAGACCACAAGAAAATAGCATATATTCTTTGAGTAAAACATGAAATTAATAGGTCAGGAATAACGATGGGTATGTTGTGTACATTTATATTTTAGGCGTAATTCATCCTTTGGCTGAATGACAAAAAAAAATAGCCTATAAAAAAATAATGCTAGATTGACCACTACATTGACGCCCACAAACTAAACTTGATTCGCAAAAAGAGAAAGCATGCAAAGAAGAAACAATACAAATAAATAATGTTTTTTCCACATTCACATGATATAATAATTTGTATATCATTAAATGTTTTTACAGTAGATTTTTGTCAATTAAGTACGCCACAATTAGAATTTCTTATTTCAGTTAAATACTTTCACTTTGGTCTTTCTTTGTAGCAAAAATAATGATGTTTGTTTATTATAGGTACCGGGATATTTTCCGCACCCTTTATAATTCGCGCCATTTATCTATTCTTGATTAAAATCCTTTCCGCGCCATTTATCTATTCTTGATTAAATCACTTCTTAGAGATACCTTTGTCTTTGGTAAGCAGAGAAACAATAATAGTCAATAAGTTCAACAATCTAATTTCGGTTATTTTACTATATAAAGTTTTTCAACTAAATCGCAAATAGTAATATGTAATAGACTCCAATAAACTAATTATTAAATGATATTAACAACATTTTTTATAGTTTATGACAACATTCTTTACAGTTTATAACAACATTCCTTATAGTTTATAACAACATTATTTATAGTTTTATAACGCACGGTTCAAGATAATAGTAGATAATAGTAGATAGCAATGAAATAATTAACGGTTATAGTAAGAATATTTTCACAATCACTTTCATATGAAAATAAACAATTTAAAATTTATCGTAACACAATTATTTTCAGACAATAGCGATAGACGATATCTGCAACTCTGCAAATTATGCTAGATAAATCAAAAGATTGCATTTTTCCACACAATTCCAAGTAAGCATCATTATTTAAACAAGAATTAGTTCAGAATGACCCAGAAGGTTGAGCGTGTTGTTGTGGAGGTTGTTCACTAAAACTTGCTTGAATGGAACAGTTATTATATGGACTATCAAAATTATTTTTAACAATGCTAAGGTTTCCAAGTAAATTGGAATCGTTATTACTCTTGATATCCTCAAAAGTTTCAGAACTCTGATGTTGATGTGCAAAAGAAGTAGGCTGATTGTACGTCGCTATCATTCCGTCAATGGGTTTTTATTTCGGATATTTATACCCTGTTTCGTAAAAAAAAAAAAAAAAAAAAAAATAATTTTTTTATTCGGCCTATAGTCTTACGAATTCTAAATTCCCAATTCTACTAGTAAAAAATTATCAAGATATGAATTTAGAAAAGCAACATTTTCATGAGTATATATATGACACAAAAACCTGATAAAAAAAAAAAAAAAAAAACCCACTTGTCAGATAAGATTTCAGTTTAAATAATAAAATGGGGATTTTATTTTTATTTGTATTTTTCTGGACCCATTAAATTCAAAAAGTTTTGGTTTTTTTGATAAGAGAAAAAAAAAAAAGTCTCGTGTAAAAAAGAATATAAAAAGATTAATTTTTTTTTTTTTTTTTTTTTTTTTTCTAATGTTTTTTTTTTTTTTTTATAATAAAAATTAGTGGTTAA